AAAAAACAAAAAAAAATATCATTAAGTTTTATTAGATTGTTAATCTATCTATGTGAGCATTTAGGGTTAAACATTTTATGAATTATTCCATAGAATATTGTTCATGTTTGTATGTTTTGGTAGTGTTAATAAAGGAATAATGGAAAATATCAGATGTTGATGCTTGATATCACTATTTGCAAAAAAAGTACATGATTAAAAAAGTAAGGTTATTTTTTTATCTAAACATCTTCCTATGAATTATTTTGAACTAAAAACATCATTTGTTGGCCAACATCAATGAAAATGCCTTACATTTAATCTAACCTAACTTCTTATTCATAATCTTCTGTATCTGATACCATAATTTGACACTGAAAGCACTGGATACAAACTTGACTGTGAGCTAAGCACTGTGATCTTAATGTTTTCAAGCTGATCATATTCGCCTTCACTGTTGTCCTCAGGTTAACTATTACTGGGACAGTCAGCCAATATCTGCTTGATTCTCTCACCTTCACTGTTGCCATTCATCTTCATACCTGATGATGACAAAACCTTGTTGAAACGTTGTACATTTGCTGTTTTGTTAAACTTATATTAAAGTTTTTCTTCATTACTCATTCAAGCCGTCTCCAACCATTATTAGTCTCAAAGTGGGTTCCTCGTCATCGAATACCTCAGTTTAGTAACATGGGGAATTTTGCTCCTCAAGCCACAAGAAACCATGTTTTGCTCTCAGTTCAGCTGGGGTAGAAATTGGAGATACTAAGTGTGTATTATATTGGCAGTTTTAGGAAGCTACCAGGAACAGCAAAGGTTTCAGTGCTGTCATCAGTTTGTGAGCTTGTTTAAAAAATTTTTTTGGGTAGAAAAAACCCCCCAAGGTATGAACATAGGGTTAAGAAGACATTCAAGAAACATCAAGCAATGGGTTGCAATCATATCATTTATTGTTAGATAAGATATTTTAGTGTTAGGTGTTTATGTGACAGAGGAAGCATGGAATTAAAAGATTATTGTACATATGCTTATTTTGAAGGCAATTTTAAAGTGGTAGTGAATGGGGGAAGCTAACAAGAAAATCTTATCTTCAGGGCTTTTTAGACCCTTGCTACTGGTTAGTAGCCTTGCACGTTACAGTTAGTTTTATTTCATAATTCTAAAGCATACCTAACTGTTATTTTAAGCGGTAATATATTTTCATGTTTTTGTCAGCCTTGCATAACTTGTGTTCACTCATTTTAAAGCAGGTTTATTGGTATCTTTATTTATGCTCATAGTATGTTAGTCTCATCTGCACACTACAGTAAATTCTATTTTATAATTCTAAAGCATACCTAACTGTTATTTTAAGTGGTAATGTATTTACATGTTTTTGTCAGCCTTGCATAACTTGTGTTCACTCATTTTAAAGCAGGTTCATCGGTATCTTTATTTATGCTCATTGTATGTTAGTCTCATCTGTATCTAACTCCCTCTACACGGGCTCAGGCAAATTGACTTACCACGTAGCCACATTGTACTCATTTAAAGTCACTATAGTTTTCAAACTACTAACTTTTAATATAGTATATATATTTTCACAAAATTTAGCAGACTTTCTGTAAACATTGTAAGTCTCTCACTTACAAAAAATCAGATTTCTAGTGAAGTGTTTTTAATAAACTGAAAAAAGATTTGTCCATGAATATATAGTCTTTTTTTTTTTACTAGTCTATGTGCAAAGTGATTTTCATGTTAAGATTAAAAATACTTCATCTCAAAAATCTCAAATTTCATTTGTGTAATCTATAAAACCTCCTAAATACATTTCAACTGTTGTGAGTTTAAAGCTATTTAGGAAAAACGAATGTAGTTTCATGTTACAATTTGAAGTCATTTTAAAAAGAAAAAAGGTTATTTAGAGTTATTTAGATTTTTTTTTTTTTGGTGGTTATGAGGTCAGTGAAATTTACCAACTTCATATAAAGTTAGGGCAGAGAAAATAACAGATAAATTATAATGTGTTACTAGAAAATGATGTTTTATAATTATTTAAGAGGTACTACCGATTACATAACTGAAATTTGAAAATTTTCAGATGAATAAAAGTACTTAGCACTTGGACTTGTCAGCTAAATGACTATACTTTCACGAAAAATTCTTTAGTAAAAATACTTAATTTTTTTGTACAAAAGACTTGTAATGTTTACCAAAAGTCTGTAAAATTTTCAAAATTTGTGAAGATACATGTACTGTATTAACAGTTATAGTATGGAAATTGTAATGAATCTGTGTGGAAAACGTTAATTTGCTGCCAGGTTGATTCAAGCATGCAATGTAACAGAACCACAGTATGAGGGATCCCTTGGAGCTCTGTGAAGTTGCATGTGCCTAAAACACTAACAGTTGCCATGATGCTCATAATGAAACACATTTTTGTTAATTCATTCGACTTCAGACAGAAGCAGGAGTACTTTGATAGGTGTTACTGTCATTAAATGTTTGTAGCTGAATGCTTGTTATACATACATAAATATATAAAGTTATCATGGCATATTTTATAAATGTAATGAAGGTAAGTCAGGGATCAGTATTGTTTATTTGTTGAATTTCATGCAAAGCTATTTAAGAGCTATCTATGGCAGTTATCACTCATTTTGAAGTGGTAGACGAGTGGGAATGCAGCTAGTCATTGCTACCTGCTTTTGACTCTTGAGTTAATTTCATCAAATATTGTGATTTATTATTACTTTGTAACATTCTCACAGCTGAAAAGGTGATGGGTTTGGATCCTGCAACTTGCAGATTGTGAGTCAATTGTCCTAACCACCAAGCTATATTAAGCCCAGAGATCAGTAACATTCATTATCAGATGAAATACTTTTGTTAACAGGTGTTATTATTGAAAATAGATAACTTGTAACTAATAGAAATAGATCATATATAGAAGCTATAGTGTTTTGAAACTATATTTTAGTACATGGCTTAGGTAACAAATTATTATTATTAATGTTATTATGTACTTTTGTTTTTATAAACTATTAGTGGAATAAGCCAAATATTATTTAGATATCTAGTAAATGCAGTTTCTTTAGCATTTTATTTTTGTTCATAAAATATTTTTATCTTCGAAAATTACTGTGGACAGTTATGCTATAATGAACACAAATAAATGGTTAAAATTTTTCAATAAAAGTTCTCATTAAACTATTTTCAATATACTAATATATAACATAATTAGAATTTTCATAGATAATTAATTTTTATGGGAAACAGATAAGAGTTGATGTGCATACAGGATGCAGCATTGGGTCCAATGAAGCTGTTTGCTTAGAACTTCTGGGAACATTGAGGAGAGCTCTTACTCAACAGGCAGATGTGAGGAATCTTTTATATCAGGTATGCATCTGTATTAGGTTGAAGATAAAAATCTGAAAACATTTTCAAATGAAACTGTTTAAATTTAATTGAAAGGGTATTAAAACTAAAGGGACACAGTTTTTCTCATAAGTTCTAATAGAATAATGGGGGCATCATTGCCACACTTTTAATATTGAAAATTACAGAGAGACCATCTTAAAGAAATACTTTCCCCAAACAAGAGCTAGTTTCTACACTGTTGAACAATCAGTTGACTATATAGATGTTGTTGAACAAATACAGCTTTCACCAATGCTATAAAATGAACAACTACTTGTACTGATACTGATCAAGAATTCACCCACCAAAGAATTGTATTGAACACATCACCCACTTCCATCATTGCTCTTCAAAAACTACATTTACCAGCACTGTTGAATAAACAAAAACATTTGCACTAGAGCTATTGAACAAACAGTTAATTGTTCCCAAAGTTAAGAACAAAATAGCCATTCACTCCAATGCTGTTGAGCAAACAACCATTTTTATTAGTGCTATTGTAAAAACTACTGTTATCATTGGTTTTGAACAACCACTTGCACCAGTTCTATTCAGTTAATAAGTTTGTGTACAAAATAACTATATTTACTTCAATTTTGTTAAATACACATCTAATGCTGTCGTAAAAACTACTTTTACCAATGCTGTTGAATAATCACTTGGACTATTTCTCTTGGGCTAACAAACACTTGTTCTTGTGCTGCTGAACAAACAACTTATACCAATGCTAGTTGCTGGCTAATGACCACTTACACCAGTTCTGTTTAATTAATAATTGCTCCAACAGGTACGTGTATCTGAAAAAAAACCAAAAAAAACAGCATAAAACAACCACATGCACTAATTCTGTTGAACAAAAAAACACTTGTGTTAGTTCTCTTGAACGACCAACCAACCAACTACAATCACTCGTGCTATTCAACATATAACAAGTCGAACATTTACTTGCATAATTGCTGTTGAACAAACCACCACTTGCAACAGACAAACAAAAACAAAGTATCTACACGATACTACTGAGCAAAATAAGCATTTGTACTAATGGTGTTTAACAAACCCTCATACCCAGTAATTCTGTTGGACAAACAACTGTTGCTTGGATACATTTGATCATAAATTATCTTGGACTGATTCTGTTTAACAAAGAATCACTTACAAGGTTTCTAAAAATAAATGACCATTTACACTAGTGCTATATAAAACAAACCACTTGAGCAATTGCTGTTGGAAAAGCACATTTTTTTCATCAATGCTTCTGTCCAAACAGCCCAAAGTGTTTGGCTGTGATATATGTGATGTGGTATTTGCAGGTGTACTGATTCCCCCTAAGAGTAATCAGGTAGGATTGACAGGATAACTAGAGGTTTGATCTGGAAATGTGATACAAGAATGCAAGAGTTAAGCTCTGTTCTCTTTCTTTGACTGAGCTTGTGTAAAAGGAAAGAGACTGAACATACTGTAAAATTAAATTTAACAATCTTTATTTACTCAACTAATAGAATCAAAGATCATGAGTTTGTATGTATGTACACCAAGGACAGTTACCCTACTGAAAAAAAGTAAGTCTAAATTAGTTGTTTTGCCAAAAACAATCTCTCCTTCTCTCTGTCCCAGACTGAGAAAACATTGTTTCAACTGTCTGAGGGCAGTTTTGCTACCCATGAGACTGTTGGGTATTCCCATGTAAAAATAAAGGAGGATATGTTCTTGAGTTATCACCTGACTTGCCAGTGGAAATGCTCTGCCTCTTTCTACTTAGAATAACTCACATTACAGTGACTTTTCCCATGAGAAAAGTATATGTGACACCACCATTGAATAACTCAATACCATCGTAATTGAGGTGATATGATCTTAGCTGACATCTGGACCAATTTCCTAAGTTAAATCTATATACCTAAAGTATGCATTTAAAATCACCTGAAATAATCATGGTTTGGTCAGTAAAGCAGTGTAACTTTGTCTTGCTCTTATAGAACACTTACAAAATCTGACACATAAACAAAACAGAGATAATAACCTCATACAGGATACTAACAATCTTTAACACTAAGTTACAATACTAAATAAAATAAGTTTGAACAACAAAATACAAAATAAAACCCATTTTGTATTGAATACAAAGGAAATCTTTTGAAACACAAATAAAAAGCCAAGCATATAAACATCGAAAGTAGGAGCTAAGAAAAGTCTCACATGTTGTCAACATTAAATTAAAACCCTTATACCATCAGTTAAACAATAGTCAAACATGTTAAAATGCAGAAGTGTCAAATAACTCTTTTGCTTTGGCTGGGCTAAAGTGCACATCACAACCTTTTACAGAAGTACATTCAAAATTTAATTAAACAACTTCAGTATCAATATATATCAATAAACATTACCTGAAAATATAGTTTAAAACACAGTTTTTTATATTATTTATGTTTTAATTTTATTTTTCTTTGTAACATGAATCATTTTAGCTGTGAATTCTTCACTTCAGAATTTTCTAACTTCTAGAATAGGCTGCTGTAGTTTCCAACCAATTAGAAACAAAAACTTAAAAATTGAACCTCCTACATCTATATTTGCTACAAAATCAAAAAGTTTGTCAAACACAGCAGAGAAGTCCTTCCCTGCTTTCTCTGCTTTCAAGATCGTTTTGTAAATCAACTTTACAAGGTTGATGGATGTTTCTATAACCAATAGAATATTGCAGATATTTATTTTTGGATACTATAGAATAATTACCATAGTTTTATCACAATGAACTTAATAATCCTGGCCAAACCTATAACAGAAATTATTTTAACCTACTTAGAAAACCAGATAAATTATAGTAGTTTTGAGACATTCTATTCTAGTGACTGATACATGTTTGTGTGTTCTAAGATACATATTTGAAAACTACATGAATTATTGATTGGAGACCCAGATATGTAATATTCACTAAGGCTTACAGGCAGTTACAATACTATGCAAAGATCCATGATGTTTATATAAAGTCTATGGGAAACAACTGATGGTCTTTTGCTGTGATTTCTTGCTTTTGATGGAGTCTTGTAACCGAAATTACAGATATTAAAACAATAATATAAAGAAAAACAAGTGTAGAAAGTTTAAAGATGATATTGAAAATCTTTTTCAAATGATGCATTCAAATAAAAAGAAAACAGGTGTTATTTATTTTATTTGCTTGATGATTTTGCTACAGTTACTTTTAGACTAGAGAAAATATAAGATAGAATATTGTTTTGTTGAAAAAACTTTATATTCATTTAGGAGGTTCTAGAAGTTATGTAAATGAAATAGTAAAAACTAACATGAAGATCACCTTTCACTCAGACTTACTCAGTAAATTCTTCATAACTCGCAAACATCTCTGATAGCCAACAGTGTAACGAACATTTGTATATACATTTGACTTTTTTAAATATATTATTTCTAAACAAGTGGACTGTGTGCTGTTTGTTTATTGTTGAAATTTATCGCCAACAACCCACAGACACCTACTGTAAAGAATTCAGCCAATATATAAATGATCTGACAATGAAAAATAAATAAAACAAGATCAAATATAATAAAACATGGTACAGTACAAATTAATCTTTTTTATTAAAAACAGAAGAGGAAACACATTTTCATGACATGCAAAAATTATTTATAATGTAAAATAAAGCATGTTAGAACAAACGTAGATACATCACAATACAAAGTACAACCCTACATAATACCATGCTAAAATGAAACAAAAGAACCCTAAAAACAGAACGCATTTATGATACAAAATAAAACATTACTGCTGAGAGAAACAACAAAAGTAAAACAAATCACAAATGATACTGAAGTATTTACACTGAAGTTCATAAACGAATGTTTTACAGTAGTTACAATGTGTACTCATTGGTTCAAGATTAAAATCTATCATACCTCTATTGAAGTCCCATGAGCAGATTCTCCTGTGTGATAATTTTTTACTGGCTGCAGCAGTTTTTCAGATGATCTCCCCAGGCTTCATTCAATCTCATACTTGACCATCAATCAGCAGTAATACCCATTGTTAATATTGCCATTGTAGCATCTAACACAGCTATTCTGTAACCAGTTCCTTCATTACTGTGTGGCTGCTGTACTAAACAGATCTACAGACCCAGTAGGTAAGAAATGGGTGGCATAACTGCAAAGATTGGTTCCTACACAAATAACTGAAACAGTCTAACCACCACACAAAAGCCAATCTCTAGCTTCTGACCATGGAAATCCAATAATATCAACAATTAGACTCCTTTTTTTTTACTTTCCAGGCACAAGTTTAGTACAGATCAGAAAATACTGAGTAAAACTGCTTACAGAATATTTCAATTTGTATGATTGAAAACAGATAAGTCAAGTTAAACAGGGATTATTACATTTAAATTCATATTCTGTACTGAGAAAATAAAACTCTAACTGCAAATAAAGGGTGTATTGAAGAGATCTACTAGTATCCCATGGTCTGCTCTATGAAAATTCCACTACTACTCACTTTACAGGGTGAGTGATTTTCACAAAATGTTGAAGAAATATTTCACCTGAGAAAATTGCTCGATAGCTTATTAAGTAAGAGTTTCAATGGCCTTTTGGTTCCATTAATCTTACCATCCTAACTTTAACAATCAGTTGGTGATCACATAACCTAGCACATTCATTTCACTGTGAAACACCACATGATAGCTTGGAGAGCATGAAATGACAATCAACTGACTGTCCTAATGTTTGGTGTGGCAGTTAATCCCAGTCTTATCAGTCAGGAGGTTACCGTTTCAGATGACCATCAAAACTATCTTGCATCTCCTCTTGAAATGCTTTGTCTTTTTGACTCATTTTACAGCTGAGATAAGTATCTTCTACATATTCTTCTTTGTCAGTCTCAAACTCTGAGATCTGGTCCAACTAGTTCATTAGAGGCTTGTCAGTAACATAAAGTCTCAGTTTGTTGATGTGCTCCACATGCTTATGGGCATTTCTCAACTTCTGTATTTCGCATTTTGTTGGACCAAGTTGTCAGTGGATGGGAAAACAACCCATTCAGCCATAACTGACCTGCCTCCATGCACATATCAAAGGCACACCCTGTGTTAACTATGATATCTTCATTTCTTGACTGTTATGTTGTAACCCATCTTCTACCTTATAGTAGCTTTTCCTCATTGTTGACAAGCAAACTCGTGTTCATACATCTTCATCTTTTTTATCATTACAGCATACTCGTATCTATTGGAATGCTGTGTTTTGAAAAATAGAACTTAAGTTTTGTTCAATAATATTACTGTGGAGTTTTCAGGCATGGTTAGCAACAGCTGCTTTTTAAGATATCAAAAATATTGCACTATAAAATTTGTTCATGTACCCTTGTTTTCATTGTTCCTCCTCATTCACTAGCATGGTTCTTACTGTAGTGACAAACTAAACAATATGCTACTCCTTTTCAATTTTTATATTATATAGGAATGTTTTACTTTTATTACTTTTGGTCTTGATTTTAAAGTTGCACACTATTGAATGAAAGTTGAGATCTATTTTTTTAAACAAACTGTTCCAAGTTGGAATGATAAAAAAGAAAACAAATTAACCAGCTACAGTCATAAACTGGGCATTTGTCATGTAGAGGATGTTTTGTTATAAAGAAATCTGGTGTGTGTAACTTTATGAGTTATTTCTCATATAACTGCTTTTGATGTATATTAATCTGCAAGTTCTTATAATTATATCAGATGTGAATTGTAGTTTGATTTCAAAGTATTATTTAATGCATTGCTGTTGTTAAACAATATTAGTATTTCACGTGCTTCTCAATCACAAACATCTTGTTGTTTACTTTTACTGTAAGTTACTTTAAAAAGCTGCAACTAAAGGTTTGCTTATGAAGTAAAAAAATTAATGGGACATATTTTTGTCTAAGTTTTCCCCCTTATTTGCTTACCTACTTAATGAGTGTGAAAGAATATACTCACAATCAGTATGAAAAAAAGACGCATCAAACAATTCATAATTCTGAAAAACAAAAATATAAATTGCCTCATCCATTAAACCACCAGTGTTTTCTTGAAAATGCATCGTGACTTGAATATTATAACTACCACACTCATCCTACAGGAATGAAATATTTGATAAAATAATTAACTCTTTTGCTATTTCCATGGTGGATTACACCCATCACTTGACACCAAAGCTGAAATAATAAAAAAGATAAAAGTTGACCAACTATGGGCATAAACAGGGATTGCGAGAATGAAGATATTCACTAGTTGATTTGATAAAAATGTAACTTTGATTATTTTTGTTCATATATTTGTATAGGTTCTTAAATATATATTGATTATAAAATATTGTTTAATGTATTGTTGTTGTTAAGCCATGTACAATAATGTATCTCATTTTTACTCCAAATGTCATTTATGTTTCAAAGCTTTATTCATTCAAGCCTGGAAAAAAGTAAATAGAAATGTGGCATATTGTTATGCAAGTATATTCTGTAACTTATGCTTTACGAAATAAACAAACAAGATTGGTTACACTTGTTAAAACCAAGACAAATTGTGCAACAGTACTGATGAGAAAAGAAGAAAGTTATGAAAAATTGTAATCTTAAAATTTACCAGAGTTAGTTTGTTAGTTAAAATTCAGAGTAGGTAAAAGTAATAACACTGATGGAAAGTAACAGGTGAAAAATAAACATATAAGAATTTACTAATGTTACCAAAAAAATGAAATGAAAACGAGACAATCTAGCTTTCAGGATAGAGACCTTGAAGTTCAGTTATTTTATGTTTTACAGTGATTCAAGTTTAAGGTTAAGAGGTATATATTTTAGTTTAATTTCCTTCTGCATGAAAGTGTGCATCATAAAAAAAGTACTTGAACAACATTTACCTTTAAGTCTGTTTTTGTTTCATTTAAAACTGTTTACTATGAACCAGGGGCTGAATGAAGTCCTTTGCAAAAACCCTCAAATTTCTGAAGCTATTTTGGAACTCCTTATGGCCCAGGTAAGTTAAATCTAAAAAAAAAAACTTTATCATGTTTTGATCCGAGTATTTTATAAGCATTTTGCTGAAGGGAAAAATAAAAGTCAGTTGATATTATTTTCATCATAAAAGTTACATTCCACTTGGTAATCATGTTAAAGAGAATGATCTTTAGCTATATTAAGACATAAAAGCTGCATTTTGTTTTCCACATTCTTTTACTTATTTAGTTCACAAGCTTTCATTTACTTTAGTTGAAGACTTGAAAAGATAACTAAGAAAAACATGAAGAGAAAGCCTTGATCTTTCTCTTAATATATAAATATATATAACCTGTGTTGTGAACCTACTTCAATATGTGATGTTTAGCCATTTTAATTAAGTTATATAACAATCGTTATAATATTAAATTTTAATTACATTTAACTTTATTGTATTATAATTTTTATGTAAATACCATATGATTTGGACCTAATATGCTGCTTAAGTAGGTTAGCAGACTTCAACCAACTTAGTTTGAAATTTCATCCATGTAGAAAAATTTATAATAGGAGATTGGATAATGTGTCATTTTTAACATTGTAACAGTTTCTTATTTAACATGGATCTTAGAACTTTTAATCCCAGTTTTATAATTAACTTAATAAAATACTGAAAAAAAGCTGTGTAAGTAATTTATGCTGTTGAAGATTGAAGTGGTATTGTCAAGGTTTGTTGGTTTAAGATTAGACCCAGTTTGACAATTGCTGTCCTCTCTTAGATTTGTGATTGCTCTTCCTTTTTGGTTTGATTAACTATTACAGAGTTCTCAACTATTACAGATGTTATGAGTTCTCAGGTTTTTCATGAGTATATTCTTTTATATGAACACATAACCACCTAATGGTAAAGCCTACATATTATTTCCCCTTGTCACAATTGTAAATTTTTAAATGACAAATGATAGCTTATTCTTAGAAATGATATTCTGAAAAAGAAAATATATTTCATATATTTAAACTTAGAAACACATTTGCTTTGTATTTGTTGATAGACTCATGCCCAGCATTGTAGCTTGCTTCTTTCTTATGCATTGTGCTTGTTGTCATACATGTGGTAACACTGTTATTATTATTATGTTTTTTTAGATACATCAAATTTCCAAAACAGTACCACCAACCCTCAACTCACCTATAGCTATCTTGAGCATCATTCGCCCTCTAGGCATTGGTAAACATTTTAAAAATGCACCAATCTTTTATACCCCCTATATTTTTGCGTCGTTTCAGCAACATGTGCTGATCATGTGACCACCCTCCACCAATCCCATTGTGTCCTCTATACTACCGCAGGTATCTCCCTCTACCCTTGCGGCACAATCCTAACTTTCTCAATTGGCAATTCTCGTGAATAGATGTGTGTTTTATGTTTTTCATGTGACTGCGCTATTTTTAATTATGCTTGATCACCAATCAATATGAGTTTCAAGTTCAAGTTTCTACTTGTTCGTAGTTGAGATGTTTCTGTTTCCCAAATTCTACTTCATGTGAATTCGGGTTTCTTATGGTAGTTGATAATTGTCCCACCATAAGTAGACAGCGATTATGACTCTAGGGCTTTATTCGGTCCTGGCAAGTGAAAGTAAGTTTTCTCGGGGTAATCTCGTTTCCCCCACACCAAACTTCTTAGGCACTGGATCTACAGATCCCAGCCATGGCATTTGGATTTATTTCCATGCCAGGCCCTAAAAAGGCCCGTTTATTTTGATGCTTTGTCAGCAATAAGTTCTGGACTTATCTTCTTCTCTAACACTCCAGCCTGCCTTGACTTTGCCTTTGCATCTGCTCACCAGCCTCAAGATAGATAGAATTAAAAAAAACAAAAACAACAACAGCTCAGTTAGAATTTGCTCACTTGGCTCTAATAAACCAGTAACCATCAGTAATTTGTAATCTATAGTCTCGTGTTGGGTGAAGGAAGATTGCTTAATCTTTGAACACTTTGATGATTAATTATTTGTTTAGAATTAATTAATTTTACATCAAAGCAACTGCCAAAGCAAGCAAGCACTTGCTTGGCTTCAGTCTGAGGTTTCACGATGTCTGCTGAGAAAGCACAGACTTTCATTCGTGGGGAGTTTGTGTACTACGTTCGGCCAGCAATTTTTTACCTTTCAAGATAAGCATTGTTCTATTTATCAGGTGATCTGTGGTAAGTTTTTCAGTGTGTATTTTACACTCCCTGTAGATATACCCATGTTCAATGAGTTTATGTGAGCTTGAATGTATGGATCTAATTTCTGCACTCAATAATTTATGTCATTCATGTATTCTCTGGTCAATGTTGTGTAAGTTCAAATTTTATCCTTTTTTTACCATCAAGGTTACTTTAGTTTACAATTTGCATTTAGAGTTGATTTCTTGCATTAATTTTGGTTTAATATTTTACATTTTATCATTGTTAATGTTATTAAGTTATAAGTTGTTTTTTTTTGTATCTTTACCACAAGTCACTTCTAATTGGGGATAAGTTTTGAGTCAACCTTTGTTTTTGTTAACTAGGTGCCTTTTTGTTTTCCTTTTCTTTAGGGTAAGTTTTCTTTTCGTGTCCTTTAACTTATAGTTTCTTTGAATCTACTTCTACGTTCTATGTTTAAGGGTTGTCTATCTTACCAGTCCCTTTAATGATTTTGTACATTTAGGTGTTCCTTATTTTTTTAGGTTGATTTTCCTAATTTTGCAGGTGTGTTACTTTTAAGGTCTTTGCAGCCTACACATTTTTTGTGTTTTTGTTAGTTCATTAATTCTGTGTACTTTCTTCAAATTCTGTAGTTTATGTGTCATTTTTGGGTACAATTAATGTCAGTTCTATTCTTTTTATGAGTTCTCTATGAGGTTTTTTGACTTCCATTTTGCTTCCCCTAGACTCACTTCCCAGATCTCCTCCTATCCTCCTCAGGATCGTACCTTGTCTGTTCATGTCCTACAACACAAATGCACTATCTAATGTGTGGAGCCCCTCAACTAGAAGTTTGCTCCTGTCCTTCTTTTTTTTGTCTATACATGGGGGTTTAAAGTCCCTTTTTTTATCTGTTCTGGCTGTATGCTTATCTGCAGTTGCCTTGCTTCACCATGGAATCCTACCTCTCACTTTGGTGGGTTTTTATGTCCCAGTGTCAACTTTTTTCTTCAGTTCCTTTAAGTGAGTTCTGCCTCTCTGTTCTGGGCACTCACTGACTGTCTTTCATCAGCTCTGTATGTGTTTTGTTGAGTGGTATGCTTTTGCATATCATCTTCGCTCATTGAATCTTCAGACTCACATTTCATGGATGACATGCATTCCCTTCATTGGATACTTCTCGACCAGTGGAACTTCCCTCATGATCCCTTGGACCATCCCATTTTTCTCGATTCTCTTGAGTCTTTGAGTTCTTGTCAGTTCATTGGGCTCTGTTTCCTTTCCTGCAAGGGAGAATGGTTTGATTCTTTCTGCAATTCCACTATCATTAGCTTTATCACCTACAAGGAGGAACCACGTTTCAATTTGTGTATTGGGCCAATGACCATTATTTGACTATTCTGGTGGGTCATGTTCCCCGAGTTGTGATTCTTGTGGCCAATATCTTATCGCATCCCAACCAGGTTCTTCACAGTATGGTCTCTTCATCCTCACATTTTTCTGTGGTTGTGTTCTCAACAGGGAATACTGCTTATTTGTATGCATTTTCCATTCACTGGTATGCCAAACTTTCTTCCTTTTTGTCTTCAGTTCCTTACTCATCAGCTGTGGAGATAGATGCTTTCTGTCAAGATTGGAGGGGTCTTCATCTATATGCCTACCATCGAATTTGACTCATCTTCTGGGTCTTTTCCCTTACCCAGACCAAACCTTGTTGTGCTCTGCTGGTTCTTCTGTATTGGACACTCAGATGTGGTTCCCTCTGCTCTGGCCCTTACTGGAGCAACACATCTTATCCTTTTCTCTGTCCTGTCCATTCCTCAGTCATCCCGTTTTTCATCAAGACATCTCCACGCTCCTTCTTTCAGAGTGACTTTTGTCCAGTCACATGCCTTGGCTTAGGGGCTCACCCCTATATGCCTACCCTCTGTTCAGACTTCTCCTTTTCTGGGTCTTTTCCTTTATCTAGACCCCTTCTTCTTGTGTTCTGTTGGTTACTCCGGATTGGCTGGGTCCGACAGTTCCCTCTGCTCTGTCTGCTCCTTTGTCCACCGAGATCGGTCATTTTTCAACCATCATCACCATACTGTATCTTTCTTTGTGTCTTTTGTCAGGTCCCGTGCCTCAGCTCAGGGACTCACCCCTCGTGTCACATCTTTCATTGCCTACACCTTTCACCCTTCCTCTTTGTCTGTGTACCAGGGGCTTAAGTCTTGTTTCAGTCTTTGGTTCTTTTCCCAGGTCGTCTGTCTCTCCTGTACTTCTGTTTCTTACCCGTTCTTCATCTGGTTGTTTGTTCAGGGTTTGTCTGTTTCAACTCTTGCTCTTTATAGAGCTGCCTCGTTGAACTCTTTCCTTTCTCCCTTTCCAGAAAGTTTCTCTTCCCTGGGTTGTTCCATTTCTTTCATCTGGTCTATCCGACACATTTCTTTTGTTTTGCCGTATTGGGATCCCCTTTTTCTTCTTTCTATCCTGTCTGGTTCTCCCTTGAACCTTTTGCAATTTGTTTCCTTGTAAAATATTTCTCTTAAGACCTCAATCCTCCCCTCCTGGCATGTGGTCTTGGTTGTTCTGATTTTTATAGCATCCTTTATCATTTCTTGTATGTTTTTTGTTATCCAGATTTGGCATTCCTTCCCTGGACTTCGGCTGACCAGGTAGGTTGTTTTGCCTTTTCTCCTCTTTCCTTCCCTTCCTTTTCTCACCTGTATTCCAATTCATTTCTGGATCATCTTCTTTGTCCAGTTTGTTCCATGTTCTGTTGTTTGGCTCGTACTGTCTCCTTTCATTGTTCTCATTCCTGTTGCATTGTTCCATAGCATTCTTGTTGTCAACTCCTACACCTGGTGTATTTGGATGTGTCC